GGGGTAGGTTGCTACCCATACACCCACGTTTATAATATATGTATGTACACACATACACACACGCGCACGCACACACACACACACACACACACACACACACACAGTGTTCCCCACCCTCCATCCCTCATAGAATGTAAGTTCTTGACAACGGGGCCAAACATTTTTGTTTAGTACACTGCCTGGCATGTAGCAGGTGCTTAATAAATGCTTTTTGATGGTTTGGTTGTTTGAATTCCAAGTTTCCTTTTTAGTTTTGAGAGTCTGTGAGCACAGGCCCCATTATAAGACTGTGCAACTATTGTCTGAGTACCAGTCTAGATAAGTTTGGAGGAGTCTGACACCAGAAGGGTGGCTTACAGATGATTCATTTTTTGGGGTATGGCAATTCATGTAAATAGTCTACTAAGGTATGGAAGAGTTATGACTTGCATTGGTAGAGAAAATATCCACCTGGAAGAAATGAGAGATTTCCTGATGTATGAAAGTATTTTTAGCAATTGAAATGTATACAAACAGCTATGCTAAAGCCCTCCAGTACATGACTACATGCTGCTTGTACAAGGTCAGTTGGTACATCATAAGCACAGGAGGCCCTTCCACCAAGTGGAGAGAATTAAATTAAAGCAAATGGGAGAGTGAACAAATCTAAAACAGCTGTTCAAAGGGAGGATGAAGTACAAATAGCAAGACTGCAGCTATATAACATCCTAAGGAAAGTTACCAGCAGGATCATGGGCACATGCTTATGCACAGAAAGATGAATCTACCAGTGTTTGGTGGCAGGTTCCTCTACTAAGTACATGACAGGAAATCTGATTTCCCCAACCTGTTGCAGTTAGGAATCAGTACAATGGGGGAAAATCATCCTATCCAGTCTACTCTGTTACTTCATAGTTGAAAGTATTTAATTAGGAGTTTCACGGATGGATGAGGGCCTGTGGGAGGTTGACATATCACCAAGAGTGTCCCAGAGAATGCCGAATCCCACAACTGTCAGGTCTCAGAGTCTATGATGTAATGTCTAGCTGGAGGCCAACACAAACAAGCCTATGGTTGTCATCACTCCTTTGGATAACTAGGGCTCTGTTTTGTTCTCTGTAGATCAATGGCTATTCTGGTGAAATTCCCAAATCCCTGTATTCTTCCTTGGAAGCAGAAAAAGCAAAAAAAAAAAAATACTTCTTTGCAAATAACTTACAAAAAATGGGAAATGCCTTTCAAAATGTCTCCAGCTAAAGGGACATTTCCATAGCAACTTCTAAGTTGTATGTATACAGCTAGGCACCAAACACTGGCTACTGTTGCAGCAGGGAGGACAATAAGCCAATTTGTGCATCCTCTATATATGTATATGTATGTATGTATATGTATGTATGTATGTATATATTCCTCTTCCTAAAGGTCATTGTCAGTCTTTGTCAGAAATATCTCATCCCCCTTGATTATAGCATTAGTAAATGAAAATGTGGACAGCTATGTGGTGCAGTGGATAGAGTATCATGCCTGAGGTCAGGAAGACTCATCTTCCTGAGCTCAAATCTGGCTTCAGAGACTTACTATCTGTGTGACCCTGAGCATGTCACCTAACCCTGTTTGCTTCAGTTTCCTCATCTGTAAAATGAGCTAGAGAAGGAAATGGCAAACCACTCTAGTGTCTTTGCCAAGAAGACCCCAAATGGGGTAATGAAGAGTTGGGCACGGCTGAAAATGACAACAACAATAATATGAAAATGTATGTGTATTCCCACAAGTATATTTTATTATACTCATTTTTATACCAGAGATCAAGGCTCAGTCAACACTTCAATTTCCTATAGCAAATAAGTCAAAGGCTTATTAAAAACATACAATTACCTTTGAGAAAAAAGTATAAACTTTTGTATATTCTATAAATCTCCTCATTGTTTTCTGTGCTTCAGACCTTGATTTGAATCATGAGTTAGTTACATTTGTATGGCATTTTGAGATTCCAACCACCCTGTGAGGTTTGTAAGACAAGAATTAATAACCCAGTTTTTACAGATGAGGAAACTAGGCCTGGGAGAGTTAAGGTGACAGCTAATAAGTGTTGGGGCTGGTTCTGGTGGTCTTTCCACTAAACTATGCTGCCTCTCATCTATCTGCCAATGGGCCAAATTGTAGTCATTCAGTCGTGCCCAACTCTTCATGACCCCATTTGGGGTTTTCTTGGCAAAGATACTGGAGTGGTTTGCCATTTCCTTCTCTAGCTTATTTTACAGATGAGGAAACTGAAACAAACAGGCTTAAGTGACTTGCCCAGGGTCACATGGCTAGTAAATATATGAGGCCAGATTTGAACTCAGGAAGATGAGTCTTCCTGACTCCAGGCCCAACACTCTGTCCACTGTGCCATCTAACTGCCTATGAGCCAGATTCACCTTCTTCAAATTAGAAAAAAAAAACATAGTAAAGGCCATTCAAAAGCACAAGAAATGTCAATACACTTCCAAATCATTCTATTTGCCAAGGAAAATGTCAAGTTCCCTTTATTTGACAAAGGAAGATAGCATGACACTGTAGATAGAGCAATGAATTGGGAGCCAATATGAACTGGGAGTCAAGATGAGGGCCAAGAGAGAAGGCAGACCTCAAGGTTGGAGGCCCAGTTCAACCACTAACTCACTCCATGGTCTCAGACAAATCACTCAGCCTCTCTAGATATCTGTTTCCTCTTTTGTAAAATGATGGGGTTGACCTAGAGGATTCCTGATGGTCTCTTCTAGCTCTTCAATTTTATAAATAAACAAAACAATGAAGTTCATTAGAAGGAAAACATTCGGGGTAATATTGCTTAAGCTCTAGACCTTGTTGAGTTAGAGACACAAAATGAAATAGATGAACCACAAAGAATTTTTTCCTTGGCTGGAGAGAGGTTGGGGTGGGAGAGGGAACTGGGATTTTTTGGCCTACTTAGGAATCTAGGACTAGGAGGAACTTCAGAATTCCCTTAGTCCAATCTCTCCATTTTACAGATGAAGAAAGTAAGGCCCAGAGTGCTTATTTCACTTGCTAGGATTTGAACCCAGGTCCCCTGTTTCCCCATCCATGTCCTTTCTACTTTGCCATGCTGTCTCTCTGCCTGAAGTCAAACGTAACAACTCTAATGGTTTTCAGTGGCCCTAAATGCTTTTCACATTTGGGCACCGTCTGCTTTTATGGGAGAACATAAAGAAAACCTTGCTGAATGTCATCCCACTTGAAGCATATGTTGTTATGCCGGTTGCCAGTTGCTAAATACTATCCTGAGCCTGAGGAGCTGGGTCTGGTACATGTCGAATTGCTCTTCACCGAGGTTCAGTGTCTCCCAAAGCTCCACTTGCTGTCACGGAATGTGCAACCCCCATCCCCAGGGAGCTGTCCAGCTGCAGCAGAAGATGCCACTACAGTCTAGCTGTGGGGGCCCCAGGCCAATGGCCTGACAGAAACTAGTCTCTAAATGAATAAGAATTTTAAAAATAAACAGAAAATATGAGTCAGGGCAGAAAAACTTCACTTGTTTGAGCTACTGCTGCTGATTACCTTTTGTCCTGAGTTTTATGTCTCTGCTGCACTTATTATAAAATATTGTATATTCCAGTTATTTGTCTGTGTTTACCAGGTCCTTTGCTGCCTCAACTCCCTATTCCATACGTACACAAAAGGCAAAAACCAGACCAAAGCTCATGAGAACAAGGGCAATGTCATATCTCAGCTTTATGTCTTCCCCCTCTGCACCCAATAGGCACTAGAATGTCCACTGAATAGATGAATGGATTGGATGTATCATTCTTAGGATATCAGGTTGGTGGGAGGTTGGTGGGTAAAATATTAAGTTTTGACGAGCTAGTCATCAGAATGAGTAAGAGGGCCACCTCAAAGGTGGAGCCAATCCCTCCATATGTTCCTCCCTTCTCCCCCTAGATAATTTTTATCTAGGTGGAACATGTTAGAATGGCCATAAGGCATTTTTGAAGGAGAAAAGTCATGGAAGAACACCTGAAGGGGGTGTGGAAGCATAGTCCTACTTCTTTGCCTTGAGTGGGAGAGGTTGGGACCATGGGGACAAAACACTGAACTGTGAGTCAGAAGACCTGGTATCTAGTCTCAGCTCTGGCATTAACTAACTCTGGCAGGTTGATTCACTCCTCTGGGTCTGTCTTCCCAGCAATACAATGAGAGGGTTGGACTTAGTGTTCCCTAAGAGCCTTTCTAGCCCTAAAGTTCTGCCCGGCACATAGTAAGTGCTTAGTAAATGCTTGCTGGCTTGACTTGTTGACTTGTTGTTGGCTTGACTTGTTGCCTACAATCCATGATCCAGAAATTTTTTTAAGTACCAGCTATTTGGGGGCCAGTTCCTCTCTCCCACTGAACAACTCCCTATATCACTACTAAGCAGTCTGCAAGGTGTGAGGAGGCTTCAAAGTTAATTGCCTAGGACCCTAGGGGTTACATTGGTGGCAAAACTCTGTAACGTAGAGTTCATTTGGGGTCTGGATGCAATTTTATTGCTCAAACCCAAATCCATAGAAGAATCAGAAATATTTCTTTAATATTCATGTGTACTTTCTAATTATCCCCAGTAGGTGAGTGTATATCAGCTGAGCATAAAACCATGTAAGAAAGGGCAAAGATTCATGCTTCCAGGAATTGTATAGAATAAACAGCAAACTTATTGACTTAGAAGCATGGGGATGAGAATAAGAATAAGAATAATGACTCACTTCCTATAACATTTTAAAGCTACAAAGCACTTTCCTTCCAGCAACATTAAGTGGTGAGTAGTGTTGGTATTATTATCCCCATTTTACAGGTGAGGAAATTGAGGCTTAGAGCTACTATGTGACTTGCTAAAGGCCACATAGCTAGTAATTGACAGACCTAGGACTCCAACCTAGGTCCTCTGACTCTGAATCCTGTGCATTTTCCACCACTGAAAACTCACAGAAGCTCTGTCCTTTCCCCACATCAGGAAGGCTGGATCTATGTCCTCTCAGGCTTACCTTTCACAGACTCGTACTGTCCAGGCGGCAATAATCCACAGAGAAATGCTGAAGACTAGGAGTACTGTCCCAGGGCAGATGGTCATGAGAGTCTTCATGACAAAACGTGTGTTGAAGTTGATTTTGTTTAGTGCCCCAATACTCCGTGATGAGGCATCTGTAAAGAGCTTGCTATGCAGCAACATAACTCGGGCAATCAGGTACAGCCGGAGGAACATGGGGATAGAAAGGATGATGTCCACGTCAGCCTCAGCCCTGGAAGGAGCATAGGAGAAGGCTAGGCGGGCTGTCCAAAAAAATTTATATTCACCAGGGATGGGATGGATGGCACAAACCAACATCTCCAGGCTGATGTAGAGGATGCGTTCGTAGGTCATGGCTATCCTCCAGTCATCTGCGCCATTGTCAATCACAAAGAGCTAACAGAGAACAAAAACCACAGTTAGGGCTGCCACAGAACCACAAAGACCAAGTGTAACATGTGGTGGTTGAGCCTGCGTCGCCTGTCATTAGAACCCCCTCCACCTAGAAGGAACAAACAATACCCTGTGTGCTCTGGAAAGCAGATAGAGGAAGTTCTGGAGGGGATGGGGACAGGTGGACTCGGTGGATTGCAAGGTAAAGAACCAGGAATGAGTAGGTGGAATGTCAGGGCTGTCACTGACTTGACTCGTCATTGGCCAATTGCCATGAGGATGGTGGCATGGGACCATGGACAGAGCAGCTCTGAGGGCCCAAGTCCCATTTCTACCACTCACTAGCTGGGGGACCTTGGGAAGACACTTCATCTCCCTCAGCCTCAGTTTCCTCATCTGTAAAAATACATAAAGTCAAGTCCTTTCCAACTTTAATATTCTATGATTCTGTGAGTTAGACTGTATGGGTGTAATGGAAAGATTTGGAATGGAACGACCTGGGTTGGAAATCTGGCTTACTTATTTACTACTGATGTATCTTTGGAAAAAGTTTCTTCCTCCTTTTGGACCTCGGTTTCCCCATCTGCAAAGTTAGGGGGTTGAACCAGACGGCCTTGATGGATTGAACTGGATCTCTTAGGTCCCTTCCAGTTTGAAATCTCACAACCCTCTAATTTGTAGAATAAGGAGATTGGACTGGATAATCTCAGGTGTCCCTTCTAGCTCTGCCTCCTACAATGCTGTGATACCTGAGCCTTACGTTCCTCGTCAGTAAAGAAAGGATAACGTGACAGGCACTTCTGACCTTGTTAACTACCTATCCTCCCAGCACCAAATTCAGGGTTCAAGTCCTGCCTCTAACTGCAAGAATTTGGGCAAATCACTTAGCCTCTATGGACCTCAGCCTCCTCATCTACAAAATAAGATGGGTGGCCTCTGAGGTCCTTTCTAGACCTGGTTCTAGAATCCATTCGCCTTCATCTATGTTCTTGAGCAGCTAGGTAGTTCCTGGGATCAGGACTCAGGAAAACCTGAATTCAAATCCAGCCTCACACATTTACTAGTTGTGTGGCCCTGGGTAAGTCACTTAATCCATTTCTGTCTCAGTTTCCTCATCTGTAAAATGGGGGCAATAATAGCACCTAACTTACAAGATTGCTGTGAAGATCAAATGAGATAATACTTGTAAAGTACTTAGTAAAGTGCCCGGCACATAGTAAGTGCTTTAGCACAATGCCTGGCACATAGTAAGCGCTATATAAATGTTAGCTATTATTATAGTGTTTAGCACAGTGCCCGGCGCATAGTAAGTGCTTTAGCACAATGCCTGGCACTCAGTAAGCACTATATAAATGTTAGCTATTATTATAGTGTTTAGCACAGTGCCTGGCACATAGTAAGTGCTATATAAGTGGTAGGGATTATTATTATAGTGCTTAGCATGATGTGGAACACAGTAGGAGATTAATAAATGCTTGTTTCCTTCCCTCCTTCCTTGTGCAAATCACCTGACTTCTCTGGATCTCAGTTTTTTCCTCCAGGGATGAGATTAGATGGCCTCTGTGGTCTTGTTCAGTTCTACATTTATGGTCCTAGGTTCTCACATGTGTGCTGTGAGCATCTAGATGGACAACATGTATAAATCACTCTATATAGATGTCAGCCTCTATTAGGAGAAGCAGAACAGTGGCCTGCAAGGACTCAGGGCCCTATTCCGGACACACTGGTGACATTCAACTCATGAATGATGTCAGTTGATGACGATGATGCCAAAGTTATATACGGGGTGGTCCCACTAGACTCAGACATCCCGTTGGGGCTGTTTGGTGGACATGACAAGAAGTCCAGGCAGGCGTGGAGATGGGACTATTACAAGCAGTGACAGCAGCAGGTGATTGCCATGCCCTTTCATCCCTCTCTTCTCCCACCAAGCATGGGGATGGCTTCCACAGGTCTGATTGTTTAGCCCAAGCCCTGTTAGAGTACTCTCATGATACCATGTGTCAGCCCTCCCTCCCTTCCTTATTTCCAGCCCCACACAAAGATTCCAAGTATTCCAAGTACTACTCAAAGGTATTGCTATATCAAAGCTAATTATGTTGGCCTTTAATGAGCTCAGGAAAGGCAAGATACTGCAGCCTGGTACAGTGTGAGTGGTATAATAAAGTGAGCTTGGTCACAAAGGACAACAGACACTCAAAGCATCCTGATTAAACGGCCTGTTTGGCAGGTATTATGGCAGCCTTGCAAAATGACTGTGGGCCTGCCACAGGTACAGGGCAGAGGCAGTATGGTGCAGTGGAGAGAAAACTAGATTTGGAGTCCCAGGACCTGGGTTCAGATCTCTGCCTCTGTTATTTACTAGCTGTGTGTGACCTTGAGGAAACTACTGCTCTGGGCTCAAATTTCCATAGCTGTGAACTGAGAGGGTTGATTAGATCAGTCTGGTGAAGCCTATGGACCCCTTCTCATAATCATGTTTTTAAATAATTGAAGGAAATGTTAAATTACAGTTGAAGATTAGTGAAAATGAAGATGTAATTTTTTTTTCCATATACAAGTTCAGAGACCCTCCTCGTCCCCTCTTAAATCTATCTATTGACCTTTTGGGTGTCCATGGACCCCAGGTTAAGAACTGATTCAGAGGATGAAGCATTGGACTTCAATTCAGGAAGATGTTGAGTCATTTTTAACTGTGTCCAATTCTTTATGACTCCATTTGGGATTTTCTTGGCAAAGATACTAGAGTGGTTTGCCATTTCCTTCTCCAGCTATCTTTACAGATGAGGAAACTAAGGCAAACAGGACTTGCCTTGTTAATTATCTAAGGCCAAATTTGAACTCAGGAAGATGAGACTTCCTGACTCCAGGCCTGATGCTCTATCCACTGAGCCACCTAGCTGCCCTGAGTTCAGGAAGACTTGAGTTCAAATCCTACTTCAGAGACTTACTAGCAGTATGACAATTCACAACCTCTCTCAGCCTCAGTTTCCTAATCTGTAAAACGGGGATAATGATAGCACCTACCTATCAGGATTGTTGTGAAGATCAAACAAAAAAAATTTGTAAAACATTTTACAAACCTTATTAAAGCCCCATATAAATGTTAGTTATCATCATCATCATCATCATCATATCTTTAAGGTGTCTTCTGGCTCTTAAGTCCATTTTCCTATGCAATTAGCTTGGATTGAAAAGAAATCAGTCCTGCATGAGGCTTAGATGAGATTTTTCATGAAAATGGAGGTTGTTGGATGTGGAGTCCACAACAGACCTCAGTTCAAATGCCATCTCCTCTACTTACTACCTGTGTGACCTGCAGCAAGTAACAACCTCTCTGGACCCCACTTTCCTTACCTGTAAAATGAAGAGGATGGACTAGATGACCTCTAAAGACTCTAAATCTATGATTCTACATCCCTGAGCCTCAATTTCCTCATCTGCAAAATGATGGAGTAGAATAAGTGAACTGTGAGGTTCCTTCCAACTCCGAATGTATGATTCTATGATGTTACTTCCTGTCCCTGACCACATTTCTCATACCCATCCCTTTTCCTGTCTTAGTGGTGCACATTGCTCCTGAAGCCCACATGACCTTGCTGTCCTCTTGCTCATGACCACCTCTGCCCATTGAAATTCTACTCATCCTGCTCAAATCCCATCTCCTCCAGGACGTCTTTCTTCAACACTGTAGTTGGTAACAACCTTTTCTCCAACCTTCCAAATTCACAGAAGAGCATTTTGTTTGCCCCTCTCAGGGACTATCTTCTAATTACCACTCATATGACCTTAAGCTCTTCGAGCTTCACTTTCCTCATCTGTAAAATGGTGATAATTCTTGCACTAACCACTGCCTGAAGAAAGTACTTTGTAAACACAACAGAAATGTGAGTAATTTATTATTTATTATTATTATTTATATGTGTCATATCCCCCATTAGATTGTAAACTCCATGGAGGGCAGGGAACATTCCTTGGTATCCCTTTTCTTCCTCCTCCCCCCACCAATCCTAGCACTCGGCACACAGTAGGCATTTAATGAAATATTTATTCATTAAAAATTAAACTGGTACCACTATTAGGTCTGTTTCCCAAAGTGACCAGGGGAAAAAGAAAAGAACCCTTATGTTCTAAAATATTTATAGCAGCTCTCTGTGATGGCAAAGAACTGGAAATTGAGGAAATGTTCATCAATTGGGGAACGGCTGAACAAATTGTGGTATATGATTGTGATGGAATACTACTATGCTATAAGAAATGATGAGCTGTTTGATTTTAGAAAAACCTGGAAAGACTTGCATGAAATAATGAAAAATGAAGTGAGCAGAAGCATGAGAATGTTGTGTACTAGTACTGACAGCAATATTGTTTGAAGAATAATTGTGAATAACCTAGTTATTTTGAGTACTATGGATACTCAAATCAACTATAAAGGACCTATGAAGGAAGAGATTATCCACCTCCAGAGAAAAAACTGATAAATAGAAGTATGTATAATATGGTTTTACATATATTTATAAATCTTTGTCATATGGTGGCTTCTCTAGTGTGGGGTGGGGAGGGAGGGAGACAGTTTGGAACTTACAATGCAACAAAAAATTAATGTAATTTAAAAAGAAATTAACTTGAAACTGATCAAGTCCAAAGATAAGAGCATGTAGAGTTCTTCCTCAGTTCTTATACTTGGAGTTTCCTGCTGTAATGTTTTCATCTGTTATAAGAAAAATAGATGCCAGTCATAGGATCTTACAGAATCACCTTTGGAGAACTGGAAGTCAGTCACGTCAACAAGCATTTGTTAAACTCTGACTATGTGCCAGTCACTGTGCTAAGCACTGGGGATAAAAGAAAGGGAAAACCAGTCCCTGCCCTCAAGGAGCTCACATTCTAAAGGGAGAGACAACATGCAAATAACTGTGTACATACAAGGTATATACAGAATGGATAGAAAGCAATCTCAGATCAGAGACACTAGCATTAAGGGGGACCGGGAAAAGCCCCAT